GGTATGAAAACCGCTTCTTAATATTTTAAAATGATATAAAGTTTTTTATTTAATTTTTAAATTGATATAGAAATTTTTATTTAATTTTTTAAAATGATATAATTTTTTTAAAAAGATTTTGAATTTTAATTTTTTTCAATATTTTTTTCTATTATTTTATAATAAGTAATATAAATATTTTATAATAAGAAATATAAATATATTATTTTAAATATAATATTTTATAAAGAGAATTTATCAAATACACTTTGAGCAAAGCTTTTTAACTCCATAAGCAAGATTAACAATGTGACATATGTCCTTTAAAGTATATTTAAAAATAAAAAATTAATTAAAAAAAGTGAAACATGTGTCACTATGCTAACCTAAGTATTAAGATAAAAAACTTTGCTGACAATATATCAAATAATCTCTCTTTTATAAAATATATTTGAAATATAAAAAATTAAGATAATAGCACATTTGGTCTCTAAGTTTTGAAAAAAATTTTAGTTTGGTCCCACCGTATACTACATGAGATGTCAACTGACACTATCCACATAGCACTAGTTGGCATTTACCATCAATTTAAATGGTTTGATATACGTAAGAACCAATGTTAGCCAACTTTAAAAAATTAAGAATCCAATTAAAACTTTTTAAAAATTAAAGAATAAAATAGAATTTGAGTTAAATTTTAAGGATTAGGGGTGGTATTAACTCTTATTAATTTGATAAAAAATCCAAAAGAAATTTAAGTTATATATTACTTGTACCGAAATATTTGTATATAATAAAAGGTTTTTTTTTTTTTCATTTTCTTAAATTTTATTTTATTTTAGTTAAAAAATTATTTTATTTTTTTATATATGAAACTGAAGGAGTAACAAAGTTTGTATATGATGCGTGGTTAAAGTTGGTTATCATCTAATCCATTTTACAAAACTATCTATCCTTTCTTTTATTTTTCGATTTCAACAAAACTAATTGGGCTCCAATGGCCATAACTTTCATAGCTATCTCTTTTTCTTCACCTCTCTCAATCTCTCCACCTCACCCCTCTGTCATTCCACTTCACCTTCATTCTCATCATTTTTCCACCTTTTCTCCAAAACTGAGAATAAAAATCTAATACGCAATCGAAAACAATAAGGAAGCAATCCCATCCACTATAGCATCCCCGCAGAACTTTGATCCCAAGAAAGGAGTGGTGCTTTATAAGCGTAAATCATACGATGTTCTCACAATAGATATCACTAAAACTCTTGCTTTTCCTCTTTAAGATGGCAAAAACCCTATCTTAAGATTAATTTCTTGTTCATCTTTTGTCATTCTCTTTTATCTCTTTGTCTTTTTTTTTTTTTGTTTTGGTACTTTGAGGCTTGCATAAGCTTTTGTCTTGATGCCTGTTCCATTAAGTTATTCAAAAGCTACCCATTTTTTTTTTTATGTTATTGTTTGGTTGTTGTTTTTACTATTTACTTTTTTTTTCTTGTATATGCTTTTGCTTCCTAAAATTTAATTCGCATAAAGAGTCATAATTGGTTGAAAATGAGTGAATGACTTGATTGTAACAACAATTCCTATAAAATTGTTGTATATAAAATTGAATTCATAAATTTTATGCTTAAAAAATATATATTTTTAATTCCTATACATTGTTTTTGTATCTAAATGTATTTTTGCTTCTTAAAGTAGTAAAATTATCAATCAAACCATATCATTTTGATTTACTGACCAAAATTTTTGGTAAAATAATTAAATTTAGTGGATATAAAAAACGTTTTTATTTATGAAATTTCTGTTGGTGATGGGATGTTTTGTTGGAGGAATCCAAATTTCTCTCCCAAAATTTTATTTTTTTTGTAACTTAATTTGTTAGTTTGGTTGAGAAACAAGAATCTTATGTTCTCAATAGTGTCAAAAAAGGGAAAAGTAGGAGAATAAAAAAACCCTCATTTCCTTGAGTTTTTTAGATTTCGAAAGAAAATGAATGTTTTTTCTTATTTGCTCTCAACAAAAATTATGTTTTTAAGATAAAAACGTAATTTTTTACTAGCTACATTTATTTAATGATTTTTGTAAAATAAAGTTGAAAGCATAATATAAACAACATTACTACCTTTAGGGGACACAAAAAAAGCATATCTTTTGTTAACAAAGATTATGTTTTTAAATTTTTAAAAAATGTAATCTTCATTGATATATTATGAGAAAATTATTTTTCAAATTTTTGTAATTTCAAAGAGGACCACACTTTTTAAATCTTTTTAGATATATTATGAAAAAATTTGATTTTCAAATTTTTATAATTTCAACAAAGAATACGTTTTTTTATATAAAAAAAATAGGTTTTTGTTGATATATTATGAAAAAAATTTATTTTTCAAATTTTTATAATTCAACAAAATACTACATCTTTTAAATAAAAAACATATTTTTTTTGTTGATTTATTATTCTAAATTTATCTAAAAAGGCAATATAATAAAATATGCTAATAGGTAGTCTTATATTCCTTTAATCAAATATAGTAACCCTAAACACATGAATTTTATATTCTCCAAAATTTGTCAAATAAAGCAATTTAAAAAATGATCACTTTTCCTCTTGAAATATTAGATTCCATAAACCAAATATACCACAGTTATCTATTTACTAGCAAAATTTTCCATTGTTAATGGAATACTTTGCAGTGTCTTCATTTTTTCCAATGGAAAATTTTCGTTGGAAATTCTATTGATAATGTTTTTCTTACGAAAAATAGACTTTTAACAAAAAAAATTTTCATCGCTAAAAGTATGATTTTTTATAGTGTTAGGAGTTTTGTTCCTACGATATCAATGTTGTGGTTAACGATTATTAAAGAGATTATTTTACTTTATTTGTTTCCATATATATATATGGATATCTTGGGGTCCAATGGATAAATTTTTACTTTATCTTTTAAAGTTAAATGTTTAATTTAAAATTAAATATTTGATGTGTTGCTCAATTTATGACTAAATATATTATTTTATTTAAAATTAAACATTTTTAACTTTGCTCAATTTAAGATATTTTAACAGAAGTAATATATACACTCCATTAAACTTTTTTAACAATAAAAGGTGGCAAAACATATAATAAAAAAGCTAACAACTAATAATAAAAATGTAACTGGTTATAAATAAATAAATAAAATTATTAATATTACTTTCATTTTTATTTTTATTTTCTCTCTCTAAAACTTTACTATCTTTCTTCCCATTCTCTCTAGTTCTTAATTTTCTATGCAACAAAGCACCCACATAATCACCAATCTTCTCCACCACTTACCACTCTATCATCACCCTGTTATCCTCCCTTTCAATCCTAACAAAACATATATATATATATATATATATATATATATATATATATAATCAATCAAACAAGAATCTCCTTAAATCAAAATAGATCTTCAAAAACTAATTAACCCTATTCACCCTTATCCTTTCATCTAATGAAATCCCTTCTTTCTATGAATCCTAAACAATGGGTATGGTCATCGTGGCCTAAGCCAACTTTATGCACATCATCATCTAGCAGAACAAAAACCTTAAAAGAGGAGATCTTTTAGCAACCCCGAAGAAAAAGATTACAAAACCAAAATTGGGTTTATGCTTAATGGTTGAATTTTTTTTTTTATTTTGGATTTTTTGTTGAATAACTTGTTTGGGTTTTAGTTAATTTTCATGAATTTGAGTTATCGTTCTGTCGATTGAAGATTTGAGAGATTTGATTAAGATTAGATTATGAGAGATTTAACGGATTTTTTTTTAAAAAGAGAAAACTTTTCAATTAAATATAATTAATTAATTAATTTGTTGATTGATGGATTAATTAGTCACATGCTTATCACAATACTTATTGACCAAAAAATAACAAAATCATTAATCCCAACTTGATAGCCAAATTAGTGAAAAAAAAAAAAAAACATGTCAGCATTTAATTTACCCACTAATGCTATATAATGGCGCACATGTTTCATATCATTTTTTTTGTTTAAAAAAATCTTACATTGATATAGGTTTAATCTTTATTCGAATAAAATAATATTTTTAATTTTGAATTGAGTAGCATCTCAAATATTTAGTTCTAAATTGATCATTTAGCCATCCTTTGAAATAAAACGAAAACTTTAAGCTCATGAGATCAAACTAAAAATTTATAAATACATGTTAGACATCATGTAAATCCAAAAATCAATGTTAATGAATTTTTGGGTCCTCCAAATATTTATGTCATTTTATATCTCATTTTTTAAATTTTAAGTCTTGTAAGATATTGCACTTACATGTAAACCTAAATAAATCCCCCCATTGTTTATTGAATCTTTCATGTTGCCACTTTTATATTGACATATGAATCTAAATAAATCTCTTCTCTTCACTTAAAACTGGTAGTGTGATGATATCGTGATTTGGTATTTTACGATATCGACATCGTCCACCATTATTATATGGCTGAAATTAAGTAGGATAAAATTCATATTCATATAGGCCTATCGAGGCCAAAAGAAAATGGAGTGGTGGCAGATAGTGGTATAACAAAATGCTATTGACGCTACTAATCGATTTTTTCTAAAATCAAACATAAAAAGTAGCTATTATGAGATAGTAAAATTTCTGTGAATATATGCATAAATATCAACTACAATCTAATTAACAAGATATTATTTTGTTTTAAACAATAACAAAAGACTGAAATGAACTTTTCCAAGTTTAAATTTCTTCCAATACTTGGGAGAAATTTGAGAAAAGTGATGTTGCTTCAAACTTCAACTGAAACACCCGCAAATGACCATTCCACCCTTTTATATTGAAAATAATTGAGGAAGCTGTTATAGGCCCAACACTACAGCTTCTGATAGCCCAATCCAGGAGTCTTATTTGCTTCTAGTAGCCAGTCCAAGAGTTTATTCAATAAAACCTTAGTTAATTAGCTAATCGAAGATTCTGTTATGATTAGTTACAGTAGCGGACAATTAGTTATTGTCCTGCTGAGTCACTCTACGCTAGAGGAATTTAAGGAGAATGCTACGATTGTGCGAGCATCACTGAATGAAATGAAAATAGAGTTTTCTCTCTGAATACTATCTATTTCTTTCTTTCTTATTTCTTTTTACTTGGCAAACTGATCATACCAATTGGGATCAGAGCCAATCAATTCTGTTGTGGTTGAGGGTATACCTACAAGGACGCAGAAAGAGCTAGGGCAGCTTCAAAAGGAGGTGGAAAAGATGGATGCTAAGTTGAATAGCATAACAACGCAGCTGATGGAAGAGTTACAATATGGCTTGCAAGCTGGGTTGGAAATTTTAGGGACAGTTTTAAGGAAGTTATTTGATGAATTGGCTTCTAGATTTTATGGATTTGCCCAAGACCACAAAAACTAGTGATTCTGGGGAAGCCATTTCTTCAATGACCAAACAGAAGGTAGTTGCCGATGTTAGCTGTATGACCGTTTTACAACAACTCGATCTTCCTGTTTCAGTTGGAGTTCAAACAAAATACTCAAAAGTTGAGTGTCCACGCTTTGAGATGAAGGATTTTAGAGGTTGGCTACCTAAGATGGAGCAATTTTTTAAAGTAAACCAGAGTCAAGAAGCTGATAAACCCAAAATAGTGATGATGCATCTTGAGGGAAAGGCGTTGCAGTGGCATCAGCATTACGTGAAGAATAGAGGTAAACTTTCTAGTGTTCCTTGGCCTTAATATATCTCTGAGATGAGAATCAGGTTTGATGAAAATAAATTTTTTGACCCCATGTTTGAGTGGCTAGTTTGAAACAAACAAATATGGTGGAGGAGTATTATGATAAGTTTGAAAATTTGTTGAATTTGATACAGATCTTTGATGAACATGCCCTGAATATATTCATTAGTAACTTGAACCTAGAAATATCTAAACGAGTACGAATGTTTTACCCTAAGGCATTAACCCATGTTTATCATTTATCCAATCAAATGGAAAGCCTTATTTTCAATGTACCCAAAAAAACCTTCTGTCTTTACAAAACTCCTTGGACAGCCCTACCTTTGCAAAACACTTCAATCAGTTCTACAAAGCCTAATCCATCTCCATTGTTGCCTAGACCCAAAATCTCTTTCTTAAATTATACCTCATCAATCAAATATCCAAACATACCCACCAATTACAAGCCTCCAGTTAACAAACCCGACAACCATCAATCTAAAAATCATAAATCACCTATAAAAGAGGAAATATATGAAAGGAGAAAGAAAGGGTTGTGCATGTAGTGTGGAATGAAGTATGTAATGGGACATAGGTGCATGAGATCCCAACTTTAACAAATGTTGGTAGATGAGGGCTTGAATTCTAATGATGAGAATGAAGAATTTTCTGATTGTTTGGAGTCAATGGAGGACACCCATGCTAAAGCACAGGATAATATGACCAGGCCAACTATCTCTTTACATGCATTGATTGGTACCTCATATCCCCAAACAATGAGGATTCATGGTAAGATAAAAAACCAGATACTAATTGTCTTGATGGACTTAGGAAGTACTCATAACTTCCTAGACCAATCTGTTGCTAAAAAAATAGGTTGCAAGACTTCTGAAGTAGCAAGAATTCAAGTGACAATAGCTAATGGGGATCATTTGATAGTTAAGTAGTTGAGCAAAGAAGTTGTTTGGGAAGCACAGAGCCTATTACAGAGCACTGACTTCTTTATACTACCTCTGATGGGTGCGACATATTGTTGGGGGTACAGTGGTTACAAACCTTGGGTCCCATAGTATGGGATTTTACTAATCTTACTATGTAATTCCAATGGAATGGTGCATGGAGTAGCCTGCAAGGGTTAGCAGCTGGTGAAGTTCAAATGGCCAGTAAGAATTGACTAAGATGAATTTATCAGGTAACTACTTGGCTTATGATGTTGACAGAAGTAGAGAATTTAAGGAAGTTGCTTAATGAAGATGGGGCACTGGAGAGGAATGATCTGCCTAAGGAGCTGTAAGAGTTGTTATTTGAGTATTTGGATATATTTGAGCTGCTTAAGGAGCTGCCACCTATAAGAACTCACGACCATAGGATTCCATTGAAAGATGAATCCCAAACCATCAGAATTTGCCCTACAGGTACCTTGCTATTCAGAAAAATTAGATAGAAATGTTGGTTACAGAAATGAAAGAATCAGGCATCATTGGGGATGGCAATAATTCTTTTGCTTCTCCTATGGTGTTGGTTAAGAAGAAGGATGGGTTTTGGCGATTATGTGTTGATTACAGGCAGTTAAATAAACTCATTGTTAAGGATGAATTTCCCATTCCACTCATAGAGGAGCTTTTAGATGAACTCACTAGGGTTTGCTGGTTTACTAAGTTGGACCTTTGATCTGGATATAATCATACCAGAATAGAGGAATTAGACATCCACAAAAAATGTCTTTACGACGCATCAAGGCCATTAAGAATTTCTGGTAATGCCTTTTGGCCCAACTAATGCTTCCTCTACTTTTCAAAGTCTAATGAATAGTATATTCCAACCTTATCTTAGAAAATTTGTGCATGTATTTTTTTTATGATATTTTGATTTATTCCACCTCTTAGAAAACACATTTATCTCACTTGCAAATATTGTTTGACGTTTTAAGGCAAAATGCATTATTTGTCAAACTGTCTAAACGTGAATTTGGGGCAATAAGAGTTGAGTATTAGGGGTATGTGGTCAGCCAAGATGGTGAACCTATTGACGAGAAAAAAAATATCATGTCTTAGACTGGCCAGTGCCTACTTGTGTCAAGAAGCTAAGGGGGTTCTAAGGTTAATTGGATATTATAGAAGGTTTATAAGAGGTTATGACTCCATTGCTCGACCTCTGACAATATTACTGAAAAAGAATGGTTTTACATGGAATGAGGCAACCACCAAAGCTTTTGAACAATTGAAGCAAGCCATGACAACAACTTCAGTACTGGCCTTACTGTATTTTAACTCCGTTTTTGTGGTAGAATCAGATGCTTCCAGTCAAGGCATTAACGCTATTTTAAGTCAAGGAAATAGGCCTATAGCTTATTTTAGTAAAGCTTTATCAACAAAACATCAGCTTCTGTCTATCTGTGAGAAGGAAATGTTAGCTATCTTAACTACAGTAAAAAAATGGAATTCATATTTAACTGGTAGGCGATTCCAAATTAAGGCTGATCATGATAGTATTAAATTTTTTCTGTATCAAGAAGCAAACAAACCATCTCAGCAGTTATGGATTGTCAAAATGATGGTTTATGACTGTGAGGTGGCTTATAGGAAGGGCTCTACTAATGTGGCTGCAGATGCTCTGTCAAGGAAACCAGAATCTATGTTATGTGCTATTTTTGTGATTGACATGGCTTATTTGACAGAATTAAATATTCTTGGATTGAAGATCTTGTTATTGTCAAGTTACTCCACAAACTATAGCATAGTGATGACCAACATGATAAATACACTTGGCAGGTGGGTCAATTGAGGAGAAAAGGGAAGTTTGTTGTTGGCTCAAATGCAGAGTTTAGACAAGATTTGCTGAAATACTTCCATAATTCATCTGCTGGTGGTCATTCAAGGATAGAGGTTACTATGAAAAGGTTACCTGGGGTGGTTTACTAGAAAGGCATGAAGAGAGAACTTAGACAATTTGTGAGACAATTCAACATTTGTCAGCAGTACATTTATGATATAGTAGCCTCTCCTAGGTTATTACAGCCATTGCCTATTCCAGAAAAGGTCTGGTCAGACATTTCCATGGACTTCATTGAGGGGTTACCCAAGTCTTTTGGTAAGGCGGTGATTATGGTGGTGGTAGATAGGCTAAGCAAGTATGCTTATTTCATAGCTTTATCACATCCTTATTCCACAATCACAGTTGCGCAAACCTATGTTGATAATGTCTACAAGTTGCATTGGTGCAGTTGAGTACCCAAAGGATAGTTAACCACAATGAGATGAATTGTATATAGATGATGAAATTTGAGAATGCACGAAACATTTCTTTTCCTCGCAGATATTCTTTTAAAATTCTCATATTTTCCTGTAATTTAGCCCCCTTCTTTTTTCAATTTAGATTAAGTAAAGAAATTGTTTTGCTTTCATATGGTCTTCTTGATTCCAATTAGTGGTGATAACATTGATGAAGAGAACTGAAATCAAGTTTGTTCATATGACTTGTTGATAGAACATCAGTCTTATGTTTTTTTCTTTTTTTTTGCAATGAACATATTTTGCCAGGTTAAACTAAACACCCTGTTCTTACCTTTGCAATGTACTCAATTACAATTTGAAGGTTCAAAGATCATAATAAACCATAGAAATGCCTTACCATGATCATGGCATGTGTCTATTGTGTCTATTCAACCGTAATGAAGAAAATACATGTGTCTGTTATCGACTTGAAATGGATAACTTGATAGGGATGAGTATAAAGAAGCTTGAGGGTCATTGGCTGCATGTGTCGACTTTAAACATCAAGGGAAGTATCTGAAACTTCACTTATTTGCATATCATACTCTTTCATTACAGATAGATACCATATACTTAATATACATAATTAATCCAAAACATTCAAGAGGCTTCACATGATTCATCATCACCTTTGCTCTGATTATTTAGTGAATAGCATCTTGAAATCCACCTTGGCTTAGTCGCTTCCTCTCCTCACCGTTCCTCTGATTCTCTTCAAAGTTTCTTTCTAAAAATAGAGCTCTGTCCACCAGATCCCGATAATTCTCAGATTGGAGAATTGTGAGTTAGTTATTAATGCTGGGTTTCAATCCCCTCAAGAATCACCTGCCAAAAGGGGCAAACAGGGATAACCCAATAAACTTAGTATTATACTCGGTCACAGGCATGTTTTCTTGCTATAGCATAAATCGTTCGTTCGAACCGATTTAAGCAATGGAAATAGACTGAATTTGATTAAATCAATTCAGTTACTTCGATTTTGATAATTGTTGATTAAATAAATTAATTTAGTCAATTAATTGGATCAATGTTTTACTTCTAAAATTAATAACGGAACATATAAAATTAACCAAGCTTTTTAATATATTTTGAAATGTATTATATAAAATAAATATGTATTTTTGTATTTTTATTTTAAGAATGATAAATATGATAGTAATGTCAGAACTATAAGGTTAGTTTTGTTAGATGAAAATTATTGAAAAATTATTTTTCAAAATTGAGGGTAAAAAAAAAAGAAAAATTTGAGTTTTTGACCAAAGCAACTGATATTATGTCAGTTCTATTCGATTATTTTCTGTTATTAAAAGTAGGTAATTCAATTCCATTATTTTTTGTAAAGAAAGTTGATTAAATAGGTTTTCAGTTTTTCTAGAACCCATGAACCAACCTACTGCTACCCCTAGCTCTAGCTCCAAATATTCAATCTCTTTTTGCTCCCTGAAAACGCAAGGAAGCAGTGCTCCAAGAAGGCACGTCGAAACAAATCCCAAGTCACAGGTTCCTTAAAACTTCTTTCATTGAACTTCCACCAGTAATGGGCATCATCCTTCAGCATAAAGATGGATACCTCACTTTTTGCTCGTCAGAGCAATTAAGGAGATTTAACAGATCATTCATTTTCATAATCTATGCCTCAGCCTCCAATGGGTCAAAGCTTCCCTTGAAAGCAGGTGGATCCATCTTTATGAACTGGAAAATGATACAGCCCTGGTTTTCATCTTGCCGCTCGTGCCAAGCCTCAACCATGCTCACAAAGGCCGTTGCTGTGGTCGAAGACTCGAACCTCAGTGTGGTGCCAGAAGCATTTCCAGGCTTAGCCTCCCGGTTCGACAATTTCTGACCGAAGTAATATATATATATATATATTATATTATATCCTCATAAACCTCGATACGACAAACAATGTAATGTTACTATCAACACATTATTTTCTGTAGCAAGTAAATATCTCAAACAAAGTTAAACCAGTGTCAACTAAAGTGGTTTTCAGTATTCACTAGACAATTTCTAGTAGTAACAAATATCAAAACGCTTAAACCTCAAATATACAATTTTACAGCTACATTGAGCAGAATTAGCTCATTGGATTTTATAGCCAAGTTCATCAGTGTCAAGATCTTGGAACTCCTCGTGCCTTGATTCTTATGGCCTCGAAGATTAGCTGCAAAGCGTGATGCATATATGGTTGTACCAAGGCTGTATGATCTATAGTGTTATCACTTTGCCCGACCAAGCCCTTTTCACCATCGTAATTTAGTATTGGGAATATTGATTCAAATCCTATAAAAATTTGTTTGAAATTGGTTAGATGTTGTTTGATAGATAAGAAGACTTGCAAAAAAAAAAAAAAAATCTAAAAGAAAAGATATTCTTGATAGGTAAGTTAGTATGCTTATAAATAGGTGGACTCTCTATAGGGTTAGGTATAAGAAAAATATGTGAGAAAATTATGAGGTTTTATTGGGTAAATAACCCATAGGACTTAGAAGAGATTGAGAAGGTCCTTATGAGTGTGTATATTTGAGTAGATTACATGAGAATAAGAGGGTCCACATAGATATAATATGTGAGTGCACATCGATATGTATTTGTTTGAATTGAAAATACTTCAGAAGAGAATGAAAGGTTCAATGGGCATTGATTATTGAATGGTTGATTGAGATTGTATGTTTGTAATTTTTTAGAACTAATGAATCTTTTTTCTCATTCATTGACGTAAGTTAGTTAGGCTGAACTGCATTAAATTATTATCTATAGTGTGATTGATTGATTGTTGATTACGCTTCCGCTAGTTTGATTGTTTAATTAGATTGGAAGCTTTTTTCCTAACAATTGATTTAGAGCTGTTGTGTTCCTAACATCTAGTTCCCCCACCTCTTCTTTATGACAAAGTTCTACATATTTCCTTTTGGAATACTTTCCCAATGCTGTTGGATAAAACAGGAAGCCCAACTCTTCCATTGTTGTGAGTAGAATTGAAAGGTGTGTTGAACCTGCCTACTATAAAGGTGCCTAAAATGACTGGAAACAAATTTCAACTTTTCAGCTTCTAAAGCAAAAGCCTTTACCTCATTTAAAGCCTTCATTATTTAAGTAGATGATGGTAAGTTGGAACCAACTTCCTAAATCAAGAGCTCATGAACACAAAAGTCCTCATCTTTCAATATACTTTTGTAGAAAAAGCCACTTTTCCCATCACCAGTTGTCACACTTTCAAGGCGACCATGTATTATTGTATGTGAAGGAGGTAACCAATGTTAACTTTAAGAAGAAAAAGAAAAAGAACTTAGGCAAAGAACTTCTAAGAAGTTTTCTAAAGAACAATAAGTTTTTCATAGGATATAATGCTAAGAAAAAAAAAAGATAATTGTACTTCAACTCTTTTTTGAACACATCTAAACCAAAACCAGAAAATGAAAAGGTTGGACTATAAATCTAAATTTTAATTTTAAAAGATGTAAAGTTGTAACCTAGAGGCAATTGATTGTTAATGCTAAAAAAGTCGTTTGTTTCAAAATTTGACCAAGGTAGTCGACTGCTTTTACCAAGGAATCAACTGCACTTGTGTAAGAAACATTATGAAGTAAAAAAAGTCAATTGCCTTGTTTCACGAACCATTTTGAAACTGTAATTTACAAAGAGTTAGTCGACTACATTCAACTAGTAATCAACTACTTTAGTTCAAAATTTGTGATTATTTGGAAAGTGAATAATGGTTTCTTTTGGAATGAGTTATAATCATTCATAAGTTATATTTCACTTATAAAGCTAAATAATTACCTTTGTAATTGTTCAAAAAGATGTGCTCTTAATTAAAAGGCATGTTAGTTCATTGAAGCAACACAAGTTAAAGGGCATGACATTTGAATCAAATCTGTATAAATAGAGATGTGTAGAGCAAAATTATGGATATTTTTTAATACACTTCTTAATTTTTCTTCCTCTCACTCTTAAAGTAAAAACAAGTCTTTTACATTGTTTTGTAGCAAAAAAATTTTAGCCTAAGATTTATATTTATGTCATCTTCAATGGTGTTTAGTGATTTGAATGTTACTAGTACAAGATGAATACAAACAAGGCTTTTATTTTATCTTATAGTCTATTTGATCAACTTCGTTTGCATCCCAAGAATTGATAGGGGCAAAGAAGTCTAAGAAAGTGACTGTTGAAGTGCACTTTGGAGCCATCTATATGTAGCATTCTATTATATTCTCCATTCTTGTTGCAAGTTAAGAACCATCAACGCAAGGAACCATCACCAATATACAAGACATCTCTGAAGATAACATTATTGTACTTTACAAATGTTCCATAAAAATTAAAAAAAAATAAAATAAAAGATTGGAAAAAAATAGAGAAAGATTGAAAATTCTCTCTCTCTTTCTCTTTTTTCGTAAGGCTAAATGCTCAATTTATGATTTAATGTTTAGACATTTTCTCAATTAAGGATATCATCTTTAATTTGATTTAATGTAGCATTAAACATTTTCAGATTAGCTCAAAATAAGACTCTGTTATTGTAGTGTAATACATGCATGTTAAACTAAAGTGACATTTTTTTTCTATTATAAAAGCTAAAAGAAATTTTTTTCGTCATTTTTTCATTTTTTTCTCACTTTAATAAAAAAGAGAGGGCATCTTTCTCTGAAAATAGAACCTACCCGAAAACCAATCTACCTAGATTCTAGTTGTCATCATCGTGTCAACCGCTATCTGATCACTACCCATCGTAGCCGAGTGGTCACCTTTTGACCTCAAAATTTCACCAGATACTCTTTTCGACCTTTTCGTCTTAAATCTGTACTTGATTATGCTCGAAATAGCTTTGAACCACCTAGATCTAGACCCAAAGTTGCTATCTAAAACTTCAAAATACCATCGAATTTACATTAGATTTCACCCACTCTTTCTTTTCAACCTTCTCTTTCACGTTCTCGTGTTAGATTTTCTTAAAAATCAACCAAACTCCCTAGATCTAACATTGAACCCATGCATTCAACCCCTCTAAAACAGCCTCTTTCATTGCTTTAAACACCACCAACTTTTACTAGGACCTTTCTCTTTCTTCGACCTCCTTTCCTTTTAAATGTTAAGCCTTGAAGCCCTTAGATCCCCTTGAAATCGAAACCCTCTTTTTTTATGGTTTTGGCATTGTGTTTCCTTCTCCAGGGGATATGTTTTATCAATTTGTTTTTTTTTTTTTTAGTGTCGTGGGTTTCGATTTTAGTAGAGGTAGTGGGTTTGGGTATTATGTTTGGTGCAAGGGTGGTGATAGGGTTGGTGGTGGCCTATTTGGTGAGTAGAGACAGGTTGGGTTATGGAATAGTTGAGGAATGGGTTTTTAGCTGGTAGTGTCATAGGTAATTTTGATGAGGTAGGGAAAGGATTCAATGGTGGCCAAATGGGAATGGAGCATTGGTATTTTATAAGGTGGTTATGGTGGTTTAGGTGGAAATGGGCTCGAGTAGAGCAAGAAAAGAAGCAACATGGTCAAAAGTAAGCTTTGAAATAGAAGAAAGGCTTTGAAGTTTCTTTTGAAGTGATTTTGGTAGTTAAATGGAAAGGAAACCATTAAGAGGTTTGATTCAAAAAGAAAGAAAGATGAAGGATTTGAGAAGCAAAAATTTTTAAGATTTTTGGGAAGAGGAGTTTTAATTTTTCTGTAAGAAGATTTACCAAATTAGTTTGCTATTTTTTTGTCTAAATATTTTACTGAATTATGAGTTCTGAAATGTTTTTGGGATGGATGAATTAAAGAGAAAATAACTAAAGAAAGATAAGGTAAGAAAACAAGAGAAAAAAATTAATTTTTTACTATTTTTTGTCAATTTTAATGGTGTTCTACTAGATGTTAAAGTTAACAGCGCATGATTTACACTACTATTATAGATTTTTTATTTGAACTAATTTTAAAACATTTAATCATATATTAAATCAAATTAAAAATTGTATCCTTAATTGAGAAAATCCTAAAACATTAAATCCCAAATTGAGCATTTAACCTATTCATAAAAATAGATTGAGGTAATAACACAAGCACAACTT